TGACAAATTTTTTCTATGGCTACTACATGAAGCAGAGCTACGTCTACGATTTAGGACCGCGTATGCGTTTATTTTCTATAAACAAAATTTTTAGTGCTCTGGCTCTTATTCGCCCCTCACATTGGGGTGTTTATGTTGGAGCTGGCGTTGCTGCATAACTGCAAAAATTTGGTATTCGGATGACAAATTTTAAATCTCTGATTTTTAGACGCCAGTCACCGCGAGACTGGAACAAAAGCAGATGAAACAGGTTTTTAATGCTCAATCGCATATGTAATTCCATCTTAGATTTCGACGACTCACCTTATCGTTTTCATCTCCTGGTTTTTCTACGCATTTGTCGGGATTTTTATCGCAGATTTTCGAATCAGAACCACAAAAATAGGAATGTTTTTGATCGAATATTTACCCCCAGCATTATTGGCAATCGCTTGCCCGTAAGTGAATTGCCTGCTCTTTTTAGAAATGGCCATTGAATGTTATGCATGTTTTCAGAATTTCCCTCATCTACTACTACCACCCTTTTCAACAGCCAGCCCCAGAAAACCCACAGCAAAAATTATTGGAAAAGGATATTTGATTTGTGAGCATTGTGATTTTTTGTGGTTATTGATGAAGACAGTACTTAAAATACACAACGTTAAAAAGTTTATTTCTTCCCAAGATAGTACTCGTCCTTTGAGGCGCAGATCGCCTGGTTGTTCTTCGAGCAGAAGCCGAACTCGCCGTTGGTACGGGCCTGCAAAATCAGAGCTGCATTATTTACTCATGACGCCCAAACGCCTGCGCGTTTCCACAATCGACATTGAGTAACACTCACCTTACAGCAATTGGCAATACTGGCGATGGGAGTAGCGGAGGAACAGGCAGTGTTACATTCCTGGATATAACGAATGTAGCGGATGCCCGATGGCTCCAAGGTCACGGCAAGACCTAAAAAATTAGACGTCACGTATCCTAACAATGAACTTACTGAGAATCAAGCATAAGAAGACCAAAAAGCGGAGCATGCTCGGTTTTCGTAGGCTACCGACGCTGCCGATCATTCGTATTTATACCCAATTCAGAATTTGATCCCGCAAATCGTTCGACTGTTCCGGAACGCCATTTTGTGAGCCCCGGGTGCTGATGTCCGTAGCGGGTGGGCGTCGTGCTGAGCCCGAAAATCTGAGCCGAAATTGAAAAATGAACACGGGGTTGTGGTTTTTGGTGCCAGGGCTTTGCATCGAAACACATGGACTATTCTCTGGCTGTTGTGAAAGTTCGTTTTTAAGACGGCGTTCTTTTCTGTAATGAAAAAAAAACCAAAATTCTTGGCAATTGGCAACCGTTATTGCTCAGATGTTTATTTTTTATACGCATGAAAAGATACAATTTATTTCTTCCCAAAGTAGTATTCGTCCTTGGTGGCGCAGATGGCCTGGTTATTCTTGGAGCAGAAGCCAAATCCGCCGGCGTTGTTGTTCTGAAATGGTTTTCGTGGTTTGGACGATGTTGGCATTTGTAAATATTTCAAACATCAACTTACGCTGCAGCATTTTGCCACACTTGCGACTGGAGTGGAAGATGCGCAGGCAGTGTTGCAGTTAGCGATCGAGCGGATGTAGCGAATTCCAGAAGGCTCTTGCGCTGTAGTAAGGGCTGAAAATGTATTACGAATTATACGAAATGTACAACCGCCGTGGAAAAACATCTAAGCTACGATAAACTCAATGCTGTGGAGGCTAAACTCTCAAACCGACCGATGATAGCGGGCAAGACGAGAAAAAAGAAGCGCATCTTGCTAGTTGGATCAGGTTGGCAAGTCCGGTCGAGCTAGCACGCTATTTATCCCCCTAGCCTGCCCACTCCGCAAACAAAATTGAATCTATCCCGCTTCCAAAAACCCATTGTCGAGTTCGGGTTCTCGTGCCCGTACCGCGTGGGCGAGCCCATTTTGATCAAAAAACTTTTTGGATGTGTGCTACGGTGCGAAGGTCGATTCATGGCCTCAAAGTACCAATTTTGCACTGTAATATCGTTACTCCGTCCTTAAAACACTTTATCAGTATTTGCAGAAAAACGGGTCTATTTGCCGATATGAATATAGGTCTCATCTTTGGTTGCGCAGATGGCCTGGTTATTCTTCGAGCAGAAACCAAAACCGCCGGCATGGTTATTCTGAAATAATGATCATTAAACTCTGCACAACGTTTCAAAATATAAGAAACAAAAACTGACGCTGCAGCATTTTGCCACACTGGCTATCGGGGTCGCTGATGCGCAGGCCGTGTTACAGTTGGCGATCGAGCGGATGTAGCGGATTCCAGAGGGCTCTTGCGCCACGGTAAGGGCTGAAATATGGGACGAAAATAAAACATTCTAATACAGTATGAAAACGTTTATGAAATGGTGAATCTAATTGAACGAATCCTTTTGAAGAGGCGTGTGTCATAAAGCTAATCATTCCTGAACTCTCGAACCTACCGATGATGGCGCATATAACGAGGAAAAAGAAGCGCATTCTAGCGGTTTGATCAAGTCGACAAGTGCCTTCCAACTAGCACGCTATTTATCCTCCAACCCGGCAGTCCAGGTCATCAAAATTGAATCCCGCCAAAAGTCCTGCCCATTGTCCCTTTTGGTTACATTCGCGTGGGCTAGTGTACGCTTTGTCGAAAATCTGTAGTTGCACGCTAGGCGGGCCGCTTAGTCCCTGCTCAACCAAACAATGCAATAAATTCATTTATTGACCATTAAAATAGGTGATGTCCTTCGTCGCGCAAATGGCCTGGCGGTTGTTGGTGCAGAAGCCAAAGCTGCCGGCGTATTGGTTCTGCAAAGGAACATTTTGGTTATTGTTTCTCATTTTCCATCTCTCGTCCTCTCTCTCTCTCTCTCTCTCTCTCTCCCTCTCTCTCTCTCTTTCTCTCTCTGTCTCTCTCTTTCTCTCTTAACGTACATAGCAGCACTGCGCCACGCTCTTAATCGGGGTCTTCGATTTGCAGGCGGCATCGCATTTCGCGATGGCGCGGATGTAACGGAGTCCTGACGGCTCCTGCGCTACGGTTGTGCCTAAAAAGAGCTGTAATGTTTAAAAAACGAAGCATGATTGAATTTTTTCACATTCGTTTTCAAAAGCCTGAAATTCGAGTACGACTTACCGATGATCAGGCAGACAAGCAGAAAGGCCTGGAAGAAGCGCATTTTAAAGCGGCAACTCGGTCAAATTCAGGAAGAATTCGTTGCGCTATTTATATGACAGCGCGTTCGCAAAGTCATACAGAAAACTACAGCTCAAAGAGCAACGTTCCAACAACCTCATTGTGATTTTGAGCGGGCGTTCGTGCTCGGGGCGTGGGTGCATGCTGGATATCCGTTCAGAACTCGATGAAATTTGGGTGCAATCAAAACGGGGTTTGGTGGTGATATTCGGATTGTTTGATGGCTGCCAAAAAAAAAACACAATTTGGGGCATGAAGCTACGGTAGGTTGGCAAACGGCCTAGTCTCGGTTCAGTCGTGGTTTTTTGAAATTTACTGCTAAACTTCCCACAATGAATGTTTATGCAAAGAATTTATAGACATCGTAAGTAATTTTATACAAGAAATAATTCGACTACGTGTTACTTTTTTCCAAGATAAATATAGGTCTCGTCCTTCTCGGCACAGATGACTTGGTTGTTTTTCGTGCAGAATCCAAAGGCACCGGCGTGGTGATTCTGAAAGGATGGCTTTTCAGAATTTAGCTCGTTAGAAAAAAGCTGCTAATTCAAAGTGACGTACACTACAACACGTTGCGACACTGGCAATTGGGGTGGCGGATTTGCAGGCGTTGTTACACTCTTGGATATATCGAATGTACCGGATTCCGGAGGGCTCCAGGGCTACGGTAAATCCTGTAAAAAATCCTTGAGATTGTTTTGCTTTGATACGATTTCTGAGCAGTCGATGATCCGCAAACTAGCGCATTTTTGTGAGAAATGAAGCAATATCATGAATCGAGCGCTTACCAATAAGTTGGCAGACCAGGATAGCATAGAGGAATTGCATTTTAGGGTTTTCGGATTTTGGATTCTATCCTTTGGACTTACGAACGCTTTTATACCAGCGTTCGATCAACCCTCTATTGTCAACTCTCGGAGGTTCGGGAAATTGAATGCTCAAAAAATATGGGGAGCTGAGGCCATTGGCAAGAGTATATTTGAAAACAGAAAATGCTGCTACAGAGAATGTCTCATGATATATAGTTTGATAGAGCAAAGGAAATTCCAAATACGACACGGCCTTGAAAATAGAAAGTGCAACTGGAGCTCAAAAAGAGACAGCTTTGCATATTTTATGAGCAGTGCCGCTGATATTTCCCATTTAACAAAAATGACTTAGCCTTTTTTAACGTAATTTTAAAGAGGCATACATCCGATGAGAAAGCATTTTCAGTCCCTTTTATTCAAGTTAATTTCGAGGCCTTGCTCATCTTGACTTCAAATCTAACTAATTTGCTTAGTAATATCCGCTGGTAGCCGACTTTCATTATTCCGTACTCCAAGTACGACCTAGCCATTCAATTTTTGGACAAAAAAATCCTCGGGATCACTCCCATTCATCCCAGTTCAAGCCCATGATTTTCAATTTTGAGAGCTCGTGCCATGGCGTGGGCGCATCCGTGGGGTTGTGCTTTGATGAAAATTTCAAAAATAGAGCCTAGGTTCCGGGGGGATTTGAGGGCAAAGTTCGGCTCAAAGATCATCTAAGGCTTAGATTCTAAGCTAGCAGCTAAAGCTCAGCATCTAAGTGATTAATTCCCATATATTAATTTGGTAATTGTTTGTCGCACCATTTCCCCCCAGCTGACCCTGACTCACGGCGCGCGGGGCGGAGGCCAAAAAATCGGGGAATGACCTTGAAACGGCAATAGGATAGTCTTTTCGGCCGGCCATACCCACCATGGTTTCTTCCTGTTTTCGTCATTGATTTTTCTATTTCCTAAGCTGCTTGGATTTGAAGTTTTAGTTTTCGAAAATGGCGATCGTAGAACTGGAGGACACTGACGGGCAGCTGAAAGCCAAGGGGCACTATCGATGCTGTTTCAAGAAATTGAATAGCCGCGTGAGTATTTGGTCTCGTACGCACAAACAGATAAATGAATTAATACACTAAATTAAACTTTAGAACTACCATAAAACCTTCTTCAGCAAGCCTTTGGCGTATTTATCTTCTACGACGTGATTGTGTGCGGATTCCTGATTTGGATGCAATTTCTCGCCTACCGCTATCATCAAAACCGACACGAGATCTTGCAAAGATTCATCTCCAATGAAACGAGCTCGAAAATCACTGCCGAAAGCGCGTTGCCAGCCCCGGTAAGCACAAAAAAACGGCATCGACGAATTTTTAGGGTTTTCTCGTGCTCTACTCATTCGGCATGATAATCTTTGGGGCCATCTGCGTTCACAATCAGCGATCCCGGCCTATCCAAGTCTTCAGAATATTCTACGTACGTTAATACATTTGGTTTAACGATATTTTTAAGATCATCGAATACATCTTGCACCTGGTTGCGATGGGCGTTGTATTTATGGCGATGACTACAGTTGCCGTTGCGATACCTTCATTGTAAGTTTGCTGAATGTTGCAACTTACGGTTTTTTTCTTCATAAATACCTGAAATCTCTAGTGCACTTGTCGTCAGCCACCAAGAAGGCCGTTTTGACGCTGGCCACGCAGCACTACTTACCTTTGCCGTCTTTTTCTGGCTTGGTAGGAAAACCCTTCTTCTTTCGGATCTAGAAAAATTTAGTACCCCGAATTTTCCTCGTCTCCATCATGCTGGTCGGGTTGTGGCGTGTGAAAATCTGCTACGCCTACTACACCTACGCATAGTAAGTTGGCGAAAGCATTACAAATAACTTTATTTCTAGCGAAAAAGAGCTGATGGAATCTGCGGAGAACCCAGCTATTCAAGCGACCACTGCATAATTGGGATGAATTGCTCAGAAAACTGGTGCTCAAGCTTTCGATAAAGATACTTGGATGTCCGAATTAAAACTTTCCAACGTTACCTTGTTAAGATCAGCCGCGATACTCTAAAACATTCAATTAGTTGCGCTTCCTACTTTTCTACATCAAAATTTGTTCTTTCAGTCTCATTCGCTCATCTGCTCCTTTCCCCAGATCAACTCGGACATTTTTCGCTATGACCTTGGCGACCGCGGCATGGTCAAGGCGGTGTTCCGCAAAAATTGGAAAACTCCCACTTTCAGATGGACAAACCAAAATAAGGACTCCGTATTAAGTAGAAAATCAAATCAATGTAGTTTGTGATAAAAATATGCCCAATAGATTCTGCGAAAAGCGGTTCATAGATTTATGAAAAGTATCTCTTTTTCTCTAGACAATATGACAAAATGACAAAGTAACAACGTGACAAGCTCTAAAAGTTAAGAACAAGACCCCTAACCTGGATATGACACTCCCTAGAATGAAATGCAAAATGAAATACACACAGAGATGATGACACAACCGGAAGGCAATAGAAATTAAGACGGGGAAGGTGAGGTGGGTGAAGGTGAATCGGGGGTTGAGCAAATTTACAAATATGTGAAGTGGGTGAAGGTAAATTACAAAGACAAAGAGCAGGGGTAGAAATCACAGTCCCTTATTACAGTAGACAACTTCCGGGGGGTTATTCATTGCACGGATCTTTTGCTGCAGCTCCGGCTCGAGGTCTTCCACCTGGAAAATCAATGTTTAAGGTGATAAAGTCAAGGAAAGAATTAGAATCCCCAAAAACCTCTGCTAGCCAACCTTCAACGGCGTCATTTGCGGGAAAATTGCACAGCCAACAGGGGTCGAGACGAGCAAAATGGCACCGGCGAGGGCAACTTGAATCGGGCCGGCCAAATAGGGGCGAGTCTGTAAAATAATTAAGTTTTAAACTTTAATATCACCTTCAGCCACGGCTTCTTCTCCAATTGGGTCATTACAATCGGAATAAAAGCGAATGTGGGGGCGGCCATGCCGATTCTGCTGATAACCACCTATAAAATTTTATTTAAAACAATCCAGGCTAAAATTACCTGGGCAATCGCTGACTTTGCAACTTTCTTGCTCTTGCCGAGCTCATTGCCGTGCTCGTCGATGATAGCGATCCCGTCGGTAAGTTCTCTGAAAGGATAATAAACGTCTTAAAGATGTAAAGTTCCATTACCCTCGTCGCATCATTGGAATGTTGATTGAGTTGGCCACGCAAACGGCAACGAAAGGCACAAGACGTCCAACGAGCGGGTGGAGCGCCTAAAATGTGTCAAATAATAAATGTTCGTTCAGCAAAGCTTTATAACTTTGAATAAATACCTTCGTCAACTGCCCGAGTCCAAGCGCGGCCGTCAGCGCACCACCGGTAGCTGCGCAATATGAAGTAAGCAACTAAAGCGAACAATTTATAGCAAAATTCAACAATTTGCAAACCTGCGTTGTCGATCCGGAATCACCAGATCGGTTTGTATAGTTGACAACGGCGTTGAAAGACTGGTTCAACCATTGCCAGAAAATCACAGCAACTGGGCTCCTGGCAAAGATAAAATTGATGAATTTTCCACCAAATCGTTACTTGTAAAAGGTCAGCATACCACCAGTGATCGCCATGTTCATTGGAACCTAAATAACCGGTTTGTACACTTACAAAAACACTAAAAATTCTAACAAAAAAACCAACCTGAGCGCTCATTCTGCCGACAATGTTCATCTTTTCCCCGTTGGAAGGGTGGTAGGCCGAGTCGAATACGTGCTTTGCTTGCCATAGCTCGTCCACCGTCAATGAATCAGCTATTCTTCCTTTCCTAGACATTCAAAAGGCTATAAATAATTTAAAAAAACCGCGTTACCTATAGTTTTCAACAATTTCTTTGTACTGATCGAGCTGAGAATCGGTGACGAGGAGGTTGAGCGGGTTGGTGATGGTGAAGAAGTGCTGGGCGCGGCCGGTGAACGTAGACTAAAAAGAATAGATATTTTATTTGCAGGACTCAACATGAAAAATATAAAATCAGACAAACCTGATCCCATCGCGGCTTCGTGATGTCCGGCTTGACGACGAGCGACTTCACCAACTCGCTCATCCTGAAAAAAACAAATTATCTCTAACCCTTGGAAAGCGACATAGAAAACATTCAAAACAAATAAATTCACAAGAAAAACAAGATTTTCGAAGGTACGAAATCTTCCAATGTACAGTTAGGTAAGTGTCTAGAGCAGCGATGCGTACTAAAAGCTTTACTTTTCGGGAACACGCCCTCGGTGCTGTAATAGTATTTTTTTTCTACTTTCATTATATTTACAATGATAATTAATTATTTTTTAGCTACTTTGAGGGAGGGCGATACTTGAGGAATTGAAACTAGAACGTGAAAAGCTTTTGGCCCCTGGTTTGTTGTTTTCCAAGGAGACCCAGGGACGTTTCCAATTTAAACGAGTCAGCCAATCTTCTTTTAAAATCCTTTTTCGATTAGCAGTTAAGCAAACGCGGACGAAAAACAAAAATGCATTGGGTAAAAGGTTTTATAGCTAAAAGTAAGACAACCGACCTATTAGACTTTATTTAAGCGCGGATGAAACGGCGGCACAGGCGCAAAACCAAAAGAAATCAGGTGTGCGTCATTAGCCCTCGTGCAGTGTGGGTCAACTGGGAGATATACGGGGCGATTGGAGGAGGAAACGTTAGCGAGGAGGGAGCACGTGGGCCGGCCGCAAGACCTCATTCCCAGTCCCCTTTTCAACCCTGACACAAAGCTTGGAAAGACAAAATGGGTCGGTTTTGGGTTACAGCAACCGCGGGGTAAAGCTTTAGGCAACAATGTGGTTGATGTGATGATTAGGTTAAGGTTCGAAGAGTAGAATTTACCTTGTGTAATCAGTTAACAACTTGTGAGAAAATATGTAATAAATGTTGTAGAAAATACGAGGACCTTTTCTGTTCGTATGTTTTTGTAGGATAACAGGCATATTTCTATTAATATACTCGAAACTTTGGAGCAAACGTGTCTTCTAGCAAACTTCAGGGCTAAATCGTAGCCTTATGTAGTCGATGCTTTATCTGAATTAGTATAGAAAAACTAACGAAGCTATATAAATTCTATTAGAAATATAGCACGAACTCTGTCTATGGCAAATGGCAAAATATGCGAACAAACTGCGTGAGCGCGTTGATAGCACCGAAATGACCCCGAAGACGCCTGCCCTGGGTGATAAGAGCCCGAGGGCAAAGGCTAGGCTTATATTTCAGCAAGATTTTTCGGAAAATTCAGACAGCAAAATCAATTTTGAAAAGTCTCTAGGAATGATGTGTCCGTTGCTAAAGTGGCTCCGATTTTGCCGCTGAAAAAACAACAGAAAAGAATTCAACGGCATGAAGAAAACGTGTAAAATTCCCTGAGAAATGGTCTATAGCGCTGTCAATTTTTGAAACGGAAGTGATTATTACATTTTATAAATTACGACGATACCTCGGAATTACATCGCGTAATTGTGACGGAATCTTACATTTTCGATTGAAAAACGCACAAAAATCCCAAATGCAAATCCCCCATTTCCAAAAAATTTGCACGACCTTGACAAGGTGGCTGACAAATGAGCGAAACATGCTATTTGTCTCTTGTCTCCCACCTTTCCCGGGCCAAAACCAAACGCCGAAGCCCGTTAAAACCCCCGTTGACGCGACGCGACCGCCCCCATCGCATGGCTATTTGCCAAAAAACACACAAAAAGCCGACCGACGAGCCGGGGCGCCGTAAATCATAGGCAGTTATGGGCTTTTCCATGGCATTGGCTTACGGAAAAGCTTGCTTCACTGTGTGATGATGATTTTGCGGTTTTCATACGGTTTTGAGGCGCTTGAGAGGGTTTGTTTTGCAGTAGTAATGTCTTTACTGCGATTGACCTATTATTAATTCATTAATTGCCTCGCCCCCACTGTTACGGGCCTGAGCTACGTACATAAACACAAAAATAGGCTTGTCATTAACTTCTTCATCCAACAATTACGTTGCGTAATCGGTTCAGATGAGCTTTTTCCGAAGTTTACGACTGCCTTCCTTAACGGTTTTATGAAGCTTCACATTGTCGAATTTGGGCTGCCCTGGAGTCGAAAAGTAACTAACTTCTACGTGATTTACATTGCGTAATGCATTTTTGCAATTCTCTTTTGCATTTTAATATTGTTCTTTTTTCTACCGCTTTTATTTGCCAGTTCCTTTAATGAGAAATCTCTCTCCGCCTTGCACTTCCGGATTTTGCCCATTTGGCCCTAGACAAGGGGGGCCAGGTGCATAGTGGGGGTGTAGTGGTTTTGGATGGGTGGCTGGCTGTGGTGGTTGGGGGGGGGGGGGGATGGATTGAGGTAGTCAGTAGGTCGAGGGCTCCATTATGAGGCGAGGGTAGTCTAGGCTCAACACACCTCACCACAATCCATTACCCCCTCCAATACACACCCACCTAGTCATCGAATACCTGGGTTTCGACAGGCGATTTCATCCACTTTCACAGATCGTGATGTTTTTTTGTTTTGATAATTCTGTTAATTTTGAGTTTTTAGGAAGTAGACGGAATTTTTGTAGCGCCTGCTTAAGTCGTCGATGAGGCTGGGCTTAGGCTTTAGGCTTATGCTTAGGTTAGGCCATTCAAGTGGTAGCGCTTTTTCTACGAATTCCTCCACAATACCTTATTCTAGTACGTTACAATAATATTTTAGGAGAAAACTAGTAGCTTTTGCCGCTTTGACTTAACTTCGTGGCTCTGGCTTATGTTTATGCTTGGGCGTATGCTTAGGCATCGATCATTCGAAAAAAAATTGAATTTTTTCTTGCCTTTCTGCTAATTCTGCTCGCGCGCTTAATTCCTATTTTAAGCTACCCTTCGTAGCTTCCTCTTCTTGACCCCTTACACTACTATACCCCAAAACGACCACCAATTTAGCATACTGACAAATAGCTCATCCACATACCCCGATATCCCCTTGGGCCCCTGGCCATTTCGTAATTGGGTACCAGCGTTATGCATCGTTTTCGTGGGCTGTCAGCAGTCCCGAAGCGGGGTGTGGAACCGGTTCACCCTCCCGCCCCTTACATCTTGCGGCTAAAATGCCCTAAAAAGCCCATTTACGGGCGGTGGCAACAGTGGACGACGAGGTGGTGGTTAGTGCGGTTGGGAATGTGGCACGGTGAATAGTCACTTTCTGTAGTGAGGTTAACAGGGCGTGGCAGGGAGTGGTGGTTATAGTACGACATGCTACGCTTGACGATACTAGTCACAAGTTTAATAGAGTAATTAAAGTAGGTGTTGTGTAGGCTAGAACTTATATTTTTATAGCATTTGCGAGGCCCGTAAGCTTATAAACCCATGAAACCCTCAGTTACTGATTTAAATATTCGAAAATACATTTCAATACCCTCGTTTCAACCCCAGCCGTGGTCCCCCGACTGTACAGAATTCAGCAAAAGCTGCTCGCTACCCCCAAAGAAGCTTTTCCAGCCATCCGTGAGCTGTCCCGGCTCAAGATAATATCTGCCGAAAGGGCTTTATTGTCAGCCGTTGGGCGGACAGGTCTCCTCCATCTCGTCCTCCTGTATTTCGTCCATCCTCCTCTCCGGCGCGTAAAAACCCGCACTCACTTTCCACTCGCGCGCATTTGCCTACGGAAAGCGAATTTTGAGTGGCGGATGCCAGAGCCGATTTTAGTCATCATCACTTTCACAAAGCTTTGTAGATAAATTGGCCTCAAGTTGGCTATGGTATTCTTGAGCCTATACCTTATCGTATAGGTAAGCCTAAACCTCAGCCTGAAGTTAAGCCTTGAACGCTCATAACTTTTTCGTATATGTAAAGCGCGCAAATTCTGATGAGATATTCGGAATCCTCGTCGTCGACTCTATCGGATCCATGTTGTGGCTAACAATAAGGATGTGAGCCTAAAACTAAACCCAAGCCGAAGCCTAATCCAACCACGACCTCACCCCAAAATTTCGACAATTTTCCAGAATCCCCGCCCAAATGCTTCATGCCGAATATTTTGTCTCGCTCAACATTTTTTAGCCCTAGCCCCCAATATCGATGCGATGCCGTCCCACTCGCTTCTCCCCCTCCCATTCTGCCACGTTTCAACTTTTTAATCAACCGTCCCCGCGGCTGTCCAGAATATATTGGGTGGCCCCGGAACCCGAACAAATGCCCCCCCCCCCCCACCATCAATGAAAATCCGTTCGACAAACCCCGTGTGGGTGTGGTTTCCGACAAATGTTTGCAGCGCCATTCGAAAATTTGCGCTCGCACCCCATATTGCCAGACGCTCGGCGGCGAAGCGCCCGGCTTCACCAATTTGTCCAGGGCTCTTTGGCGGCGGTTTGGGCTTTATAATAATATTGCGTCACGGGGCAAATATGTACGTGTTTTTCATGGGATTGATCCATTTTTCACCAAAAACTTTCCTTTCTAGGCCGATTTCTTTTGGGCATCTGCTACGATAAGAACTTTAGAAAACTTGTAATTTTTTAAAGGTCTTTGAGGCGACTTGTTGCGTTTGGTTTCTAGCGTCAATAGCCCCCAAGGGCTGCCGGGAACCCATCAAGGGAATGGGATCGTTAGAATATTTTGGTAGATGTACTTCTTACTGTAAGCTTAGTGGCTATGAACGTCAATCGTTGCTCTCTCGCGCTATCTCTCACTCTCGCTCTCCCTCTCTCTCTCTCTCTCTCTCTCTCTCTCTCTCTCTCTCTCTCTCTCTCTTTCTCTCTATCTCGCTCTGTCTCTCTATCTCTCTATGTCCTCTCCCTCTGTCCACTCTCTCTTTCTCTCTCACTCACTCTCTCTCTCTCTCTCTCTCTCTCTCTCTCTCTCTCTCTCTCTCTCTCTCTCTCTCTCGAGCTAGCAAGCTGCAAATTCCCGTTAGCATCAAACGACTTCCAAAATACGCATTAGTAGCGCAGGAATAATAGCTTCTGCCTGTCGAAATTCATAGAAAAACCATCAGCCTTCCGCTTTGAAAAGTTATACCCTTTTCAGCAACCATGGCTCTCCTACCCAAACTAAAACTTTTCAAAAGTCCATTTTCCGGTTCGATACCAGCGAG